AAAGACGACCTCACCAGGTCCAAAAGGACCCACTTATGCATCAGAGGGTTAACAGTGAAATAAAGTCATATTTCACTGTTTTCTTTTTATTACCACAACAGCTAAAACGAGAGAGCTGGAGCTGCAGAAAGATGAATTAGACAAGCTGAAACAACAACACCAAGGTATTTTTTTAATTGTCCAAGTAAATAAGCTTAAAGAACAAGAACAATTTTGATAAACTTAATAACTCTATATTAACTTCTGGATGGTCAACTGCAGGGATGGATAACTAAAAGAAATGACTTTTATTTAACCAAAAAAGTGATGATAAGATGCTTGTACTTTTATTATTGTATTTCCAGCTCAGGCAGGAGAGCTGAGCAGTGTTAAAGCTCTGGCAAATATCACCGAAGACCAAGTGGAGTCTCTGAGAAGAGAAGGAGAAGGTTAAATATCCTTATTGAACACTCATATTATCATTTCAACAACCTCCAAGGCTCTCATAACTGTATTTCTTTAAGTGTCTCTTTTTTAACATATAAGTAACTAAGAAACAAAAATCATTTAATTTTTTGTCAAATTATATTTTTTCTTTGGTCCACACACAGTCCAGACGAAAGAACTGGAGGTGCAGAAGAAAGAGCTCGACAAGATAAAAGAACAACACCAAGGTATGCCAATAATTAAAAGAAAAGAAAAAAAAACCTCTTATTAAATGTATTAAAACATTACTTTTTATGTCAGCTGCCATGATTAAAGATATTAACAAATATGAAGCAGAAAAAACAAAACAAAATTCTGTCATTGTGATAATTAATAGTCATAAGAATATTATATTTATATTAGACCTGCAGAGCTGACAAGAAAGAATCAACAAAGACACCAAATGTCTTTTTATCAAGTTAATAAATTTTGCTTTCTGTTAGGTAATTTCCTCGAACCTACAATAAAATAACCACAGACAACGTATATGAATTAAATATGGTCAGGCTTCTGCAGAAGGAGAAATCTCGATCAACAGCTCCTCCTGGCTGGTCAAAAGAGAGTTCTGATCTGCTTTCACGTGAGCTCCCTCTTTATGTCAAAGCATCAAACAACAGAGGTCGTAAAACATTTAACACAAACAGACCAACAACTCAGTTCCAGGTGTGATATCTAATTTACAATCTGAGCCCAGTTCAGCTCTGGGTCAAACTGTCACCTAAGACCGGGTAGATAAACACCAGAGAAAACTTTAGGGTCTGAGAACCATAAAGTTTTACTATCTCGCATGAAGACAGTCGTAACCTCCAGGTCAGCCCATACACACATAAGGAAGAAAACACTTTAACAAAATGATAATATCAAAAAATCTCTAACACTTTCTGTATTGAAAAACTGAGGATAATTATTCTGTCTTCTGTGTTTCTGGATAAATGTAAAAGGAATCCGACAAATAATCTTTTAAAGATATTGATAGCTACTTTTTTTTGCTTTGCATAATTTCAGCTCATGCAGAGGAACTGCTGAGAGTTCAAACCAGGGCAAACGGCACTGAACAGCAGGTGGAGGCTTTGAGGAGAGAAGGAGAAGGTTTGTGAATTCACAAATAAACTCACTATGACAACAATAACGTTTGATGAAAATGTTACATTTGTTTAAAATAAAGAATGAATTGTTATTGTTAAAAATATGACCAAATGTTTAATCCCACATTCTTCTTTTTTATTCAAATCAAATAAGCTTATAGTGGATAATTTCATGGTTGATCCTAATAATTACTTCCTGACTTACAGTGAAACGAGTGGCTTTCTCAGCTTCCTTGCTGGCATCAGGTTATGGAGAAACTGGACCATTTAACACACACACACCTCTGGTCTTCAAACATGTTGCTTCAAACATTGGAAATGCCTACAACCCAAACACAGGTACCTCTGTTTACATGATGATGATGACTATTATTATTATTATTATTATTTATTTTATTGTTATTATTTTGCATTTCAGGTTTTTTCACAGCTCCAGTCAGAGGAGTCTACCACTTTGAGTTCTATATCTATGGACATGGACATGCTTCATATCCTTCAGGTGCTGTGTTGACCAAGAATGGAGAACATATAGTTATTGCATCTGAACATCAGCCTTCTCATGCTGCTAATGCTGCTAATGGTGTCACATTGCTGCTAGAGGTTGGAGATGTTATATTTTTGCGCCAGTGGCACCACTCAAGGATTTATGACAACCAAAATCGTCACACAACCTTCAGTGGTCATCTGCTTTTCACCATGTGAGCAGCAAGCAGGGCTGATTTCAACCATCATCTCTACAACATGTCAGAACTGACTTTGAGCTACATTGGCGTAAAAAAGTCTTTCCTTTCTTCTTGATGTCCTATTATTTTGCATGTTTGTTATACTTCATTGATTCGTAACATCAGAACAATTTAAATACTAAATTAACTAAAAACAAAATGCAGTTTTGAAATGAGGATGTTTTTTCTGAAGGCAGGAAATAATCCTAACCCACCTCGTCCTGTGTGACAAAGTGATTAACCTGATTACTGCCACACCTGTTCTCAATTAAATAAGAGCTTCCTGGAAAAGCAAAATGCACCAGCAGTTCCTCAAAAAGTTGACTTCATATTGAGATCCACCAAAATTCAGGAACAAATGAGAAAAAAAAAACTGTGAGCCTGGAAATGCTTACAAAGCTCAAGGATTTATGATAACTAGAATAATCATGATACCTTCAGTGATCGCCTTGTGAGCAACAAACAGTACAAATTTGTATATGTGTGTGTATGTATCACATACAATATCCTGATGTGATACAGAATATTTCTTATCTTCTATCACATAAATACAGGATGTTGCAGTTTCCCCCTGCATGATGAACATCAACACAAAGTCATTATTAAACTGAGCAAAAACCTTATTTCTGTAGCCATAAATCAATTCAAGAGTGAACTATTGGATATTTTGTCTTTGTGGTTTTTATCCTGGTCTAATTGTTTTGTACAGTTTTATACTGAATATTCTGTGAGCATTTTGATGAATAATTGAATGGAAATATTCTATATAAATGAAATTGTTTTTTCATTGAGTCATCACGCAGTGATCTGAACTTACATTATTAACATGGTAATATAGAAATATTGTCATATTATTGTCATAAATTGTTATTTCTCAGTAACACACACAAGCTGAGACCTTTGTTCTGGGAGTGATGTCGTGTCTTAACACACAAAACACATTCAGTTCAAAAAAGAAGTTCATCCATTGATCCCAGAGATAAAAAGAGAAAATACGGCCAAGACCCAAACAACACATCAACGTGGAACATGTGAATGTCACCGTATGTTAATGTTGGAAAATATGTGTGTGAAATTAGACTGAGAGAAGCTTCATTGGCTTTGTCCCTCTGACCGGTCTCTGAATTATGACTGGAATATAATGGTAAATTTAGGAATTATTTAATATGTAAATTTATTTTGATTGCTTAATAAATTTTCTTAACTTATGTAAACATGTCTTACAGTCTTCACTTATGTACCCCACAGAGACGTATTCTAGACATGCTTCGACTTCCTCTTTACTTATGAGAATAAAACACAAATGAAGATTAAAAATCTGCCAATGTTTCTGTTTGTTCTTTTGTTTTTGTGATCAATCATTAACAGCTTTATTTTATCAGCAGTTATAATAAACCTGGATCTATCTCTGTATTCTCTTTGTTGAACTTTAAGAGTTGACCCACATTTCAGTGATGATAGTGATAAAACTTTTATTTGTTCTTTTATATAACAAATCATCAACAGCTTTTCTTTATTTTTAATAATAAACCTGGTTATATCTTTGTTGAAAGCTGTACTTGACCTTTATGATTTGTCCCAGATTTCAGTGATGATAGTGGTTCAGTTTATTGTTCTTTTGTGTAATAAATCATTAACAACAATGTTAATAAACTGGGATCTATGTCTATAATCTCTTTGTCAAAAGAGAAAGTTCAGAAAAGTGAACCAAGTTTATTATGTACAACAGATAAAGTTTTCAGCTTAACTACAGCGTCATTCACAATTGTCCAAATCTTGAGATTCAAAATGGTAAACTTCAAATGCCAATCAATTTCAAATCCATTAGGATAAGTTTAATTGAAACAAACTGTTATGACCCCTAACATATTATTAAACATTTTCACAAACTTGAAATATTAAACTTTTATGTGACAATCTCCTGTTTGACCAGAAAATACATCACAATGTAAAGAGAACTCTGTATTAAATAATCAATCAGGTTTTAGTGCAAAAAACATTCCATTTCCAATTTTCTCATTCATATTTGCTCATCTACAATTACCAGAATGCAAAAACAGTAGCACCATATTTGTTGATTGGTTTGGTGTAATTTGATTTTGGGATGTCCTTCTTGAGTAGTATTTAATCATCAATTCTTCTAACTCCATGTTTACCTTCCAGGGGACACACATTTTGTTTTTCTCTAGAACAGAAGTGGATAGCGTGGAAAAGTAATGAACTCACTGAAAAGAAAAAGCAACAAAACAAAATATTGTTCACGTAATACCTGGTCCTTCTATGTCTCCATAGAGAATGAATCCTGTGTGCAAGTTAAGAATTAGAGTCAATCATGATATGCAACTTATTTAATCTATGTAATTTAACATGTTTTCCACCTTTATATATTTTCTAGAGGCTACAAAAGGATACTTATTATTCTGGGACACAGTGGCTTAAATTCCCAAACCTACAAAATTTTGGGTTTTTGTTGAAGGTTCTTGGCTTGAATATTTTATACTGATTATTGTGACATTGTAAACATCGGCATTTTATATGAACAGAATATATTTTATCATTTATCTCCAACAATTGCAAAAAGCCTACTTTATATGGGAGGGCCACATAACAAGTCTTATTACCTGCACGTGTTTCTGCAGAGCCTGGTAATAATTAGTAACTGAGGGCAAAGCAGTATATAAGCTTGGATCATTCCAGAAACCACAAACCTTACATGCAGAGACAAAAACTTAGAAAAAAGATGGGAATGATTTTTCTATTGCTGTTAATCTGCTCTCTCTCCAGAGCACAGCTAGAAACAGAGTCTGTGAATGAAATGATGTCACATGTAAGACAAACTGAATTACTGGAGAGCGACACAGGAAGTCTCTCAAACCAACCACCAACATGTAGCCAGGAAATCAACAGTGTCCTGAGAGAGATGACTGGTTCACTGGCTGGACTGAAGGTGCAGGTGGGATACTTAGAGAGGGACAACGAAGGTATGTCCATAAAAAATATGCGTCACATAAACAATTAATGCTAAGAATTACTCATGGAGAGATCATTGTTTTGCAATGTTTTCTTTGATATAAACAGCTAAGCTGAGAAAGATGGAGCTGATGAAACAGCAGTATTTGGTGATAAAATGTTTGTAAAGTTTGCAGTTTGAATAGAAAAGCAATATAGCAAGAAACTATTACTTTTGTGTCACTTTTGTACTGGAGCAACAAAACCAGGTATTTACTGATACCTGCTATATGCAGCATAGCACTAAATTATAATAACCATTCTAATGCAATTAAGACACTTCAGTAACAGGGTAAAGATTTTAATATAGAGCATATAAGTGCATATTCTGCAGTGCAAAGAAATATATATATATATAACTTATTTAAACAAACATTTAAATAGTATTCAGGGTTTTGGTCCAATTATAAATTAGTTAATCTATGAGTCTGCAGGGTTTTTTTTTTTTAGTTAAAATCATGTTTTTCTGTGGTGTTGGCTCTTTTGCAAAATTCCGGATCAGGCTTAAGAACTGATGTCTGTTAAAGCTGCAGCAACATCACAGAAAATCTAATGGAGCCTCTGAGGACAAAGATTGCAGGCTGGAGAGTTTATGAGCATGCTGACATCACATGATTCACCTTGCATTATTTGCACTAACATTGCTGTCCACTAAAATTGATCATTTTAAGCTGTTATTGCATTTATTTGTGACATGGCTTTCCTCCTGGTCACTTCACCTTTTTGCCAAATCATAGCCACTTTGATTTTATACCAAGCAAACCTTTTCTCACCCATGTCTCTAAATGTTGCATAATAGCTTGTCTTATGGTGTCTTATGGTAGCATCAATAATTGTAAGGATAATAAAAAAGCCCAAGTCTCACACAAAATTTAAATTAAGAAGCTATTTCTCCTGCAAAAACAGGTTAGGTGAAATCACCTAATAGATTTATTTACTGAAAGAATAATGGCTGTGTCCATAACGGCTTTTATCTTTGTTTTTTCCTTTATACACCAACAGCTAAGACCAGAGAACTGGAGTTGCTAAAGAATGAGTTGGAAAAGATAAAGCAACAGTTCCAAGGTATCTCTTACATAAAAAATGAAATAACATGTTGCAAACTAATGATGTCACATATTTGCTTTCCAAAATCATAATTAGTGTATTTATTTATTTAATTTTTAAAACATCTCAAGATGAACTTGTATTACAGTTAGTAGTGTGTATTAAACAAAAACTTCTTAAAATACTAATCATTATGCAAATAATGAAATGATTTTTTTCCACTTTCACTCCTTTGTTTATTTATTGCACATCATCTACAGCACAGGTAGAAGAGGTGACCACAGTCAAAGCCTTGGCAAACAGCACTGAACACCAAGTGGAGGTTTTGTGGAAAGAGGGAAAAGGTAAGTCAATTTATAATTTACTTCACAATTCGAAAAAATATATAACTATCTTGTTTATAACTAATATCATTTGTCTGTTTGTTTTTTTTTTTTTATTTTAGAGCAAGTGATAAAAGTAAGACGTCTTGAGCAGCAGTACCAAGGTATTTATGACTAACAATAAATCATTTTGTGATAAATGACACATTAAAAAATGTCTTAAATATTTAGAACCAAATAAAGCAGATTTCTGTTAAACAATACAAAAAGTTGTCACCAAAGATATCAAAAATTCGTCTTCACCTGGTTTCTAAACACCTACAAAAATGCCACAAGACGTAAATACTGCTTTCTCTATTTCAGCGAAACGAGTGGCTTTCTCCGCCTCAGTGTTCACTGGAGGAGCTCAAGGATATGTCGGACCATTTAACACAGACACAGTTCTGATCTTCAGACATGTTGCTACTAATACTGGAAATGCCTACAACCCGCATACAGGTGCACAGATTTATGCATTCATCTGTAATGAGTTGCTTTCTTTTGAGAGCCTGACAAAAACATGGTTAATTTTCACTAATTTTGCCAATAATTATTTAAAATTTTGACAGGGATTTTTTCTGCACCCGTCAGAGGAGTCTATCATTTTGAGTTCTACCTTCATGGCCATGGACATGCGTCACATCCCACAGCTGCTACGTTGGTCAAGAATGGGCAGCAAATCTTCACTGCCTTTGAATGGCAATCTTCCGGTTCTGTTAATCCTGCTAATGGAGTGAATTTACATTTAGAGTCTGGAGATGTTGTTTTTGCGCGTCTCTGGAGGAACGCAAGAATTTATGACACTGTTAATCATCACACAACCTTCAGTGGCCATCTGCTTTTCCTTTTGTGAGCACAAAACTTTTCTGATTTTCTTTGCCCATCAGGTTTCATTTTTGCGACTCATAATCAAACTTTGCAGAAGGTTGCATTTTTACATAATGTTTTGATGATGTTCAAATAAAAATATTGGAATTGGGATTTGTTGGCTTGACCAGTACAGTACTGGGTTATACTTATGATCAGCTTTACATCAGCAAGTTCAAGTGTCTGTAATTTTACTCATGCAGAAAAGTAAAATCAAATCTTTAAAAACAGTGTTTATTTCAGCTATCATTTTCTTTAAAAGCATTTCAATGAATTTCAGCCATTATTTTCTTTCAAAGCATTTAAATGATTGCCTAATTTGGAACAAAAAAGAAACTGTAATAAAGAATAAAGAAACGTAACTATAGAACCAGAATTACAATCAAAAGGGATATAAGAGATTTAATCATACAATTTTTAAGCAGAATTAAGAGTATTCCTGAAGGCAGCATTGATATTATGCAGGGACTTTCATGCTCAGCACACATTAAATGTTTAATCACATTTTTGCTGTAACTTACAATATGCCTTGATGAGGTCGTTTGTTTTAATTGTAAATGTTATATTTTAATTTGCTGTAAGCTGAAAATCGTCACAATTAACATGCAGTTTTTTCACAGGTAAGAAGTGGGCTCGCAAAAAAAAAAAAAAAAAAAAAAAAAAGTCCATGACTAATTGCGGGTTACACAATTAGTCATGGAAATTTTGACCATAAAGTAATGGATGATATGGTAACTGATAAATGTGATACTATGGCAAGCCGTTTTAACATAAATTCGGTTTCGTCTGACTATCCGTAAATAAAAGTTGAATAATTCATGATATCTCTAATTCATTTAGAGATATCGTAAAAGGAATTTTGACTAGTCAAAATTATAATTCTAGATATCTCTAATTTAGTTTTGTCCAGTCATTATTTGCTTTTAAGATATCTATAATTTAATTTCCACTAGTCAAAACTAAATTTCTCCTATCCAAAAATACATTTAAGATATCTTGAATTATGGACTAATTAGAGATATCTTGAATTATAATTTTGACTAGTCATAATTTAATTGTAGATATCTGAAATGTGTATTTCACATAGTCAGTAATTCATTGTAGATATCTTGAATTGAAGTCCCCATACAAATCAATGGTAAATCTGACGTCATTTTGACTAGTCAGAATGTAATTGGAGATATCTTAAATTGCTAAAACGTCTAGTCATAAAACAATTTGAGATATCTGGAAAGTAATTACGGATAGTCAGGCAAAACCGAATTTATGTTAAAACGGCTTGCCATAATTGACCAGCTAAGCCAATCAGGTATTGGTCACGTTTTGGTCACGTATTGGTCACGTGATCTTCCTGAGGCAAACTCGAAGCCCGAATCAAACGTCATAGATTGACGTCTTGATAATGTAATCACAAATCATGTTCTTTTGCAGATAATGTGGACAATACCTATCAAATATAAATTATATATAGATACCTATAGAGAAATAGATATCTATCTCTATATCAACATATTTATATTTTCATATAGCTAGATATATATTTATAATTTACATATATTTCATATATAATTTATATTTGATGGTTAATAAAATAATTAATGTCTAAATGATGGTGGAGAGGCTACAGGACTTTTACGTCAATCTATGACGTTTGATTCGGGCTTCGAGTTTGCCGCAGGAAGATCACGTGACCAATACGTGACCAATACCTGATTGGCCTAGCTGGTCATTGGTGACGTGACACTTCTCCGTCGCATTCAAACTCCGAATCTGACGTCATAGATTGACGTCAATGACCAGCAGAAGCAGAGCCTTTGAATGGTGGGCATCTGCGATCATGTGGTCACAAATCCCTTCTCTTGCCTTGCAGTAAATGCTTGCAAACACAAAGCCCATTAGAGACTTAATGGGCTTTAAGATTGGTTGATCCTTTCTTCAGTTTACAAGCTATGCATGGTTCAAGAGAAATGTCGGGTCATGAAAGACTCGTTTGACCGCCGATGACAAGGCGGTCAGTGTCATGTGATTCTGGTCACATGACACATGGTGGGCTGGGAAATAAGCTTCCATACCTTTGTATGGAAGCTTATGGGGAAATTTATGGTACATATATAGAGAGATATAGATATATATATATATCTATATCTATATATATCTATATCTATATATATATAGATAGATAGATATAGATATAGATAGAGATAGATATAGATATCTATCTATCTAGATAGATACATATATCTATATAGATATATAGATACATATCTATATATATATATAGATACATATATCTATATATATATATATATTTGGACCTTTAATAACACACAAGATACTACATTTCTGAAGTTATCCCCCCCACTCCAAAGAAAATAACATTTCATCAGCACTGAGCTAAAAGTTGTGTTCTTACAGAGATTCATAAAGTCCAAAAAGTTTTAAACTGCTGTAAATGTCTGTTGTCTTTTGTCTGCTTTTCAATCTGTCTGAATTTGTGTTGCTGCCCTGAGCAAATTTATTTACTTAATTTTTCTGCTTGTTGCAGAATTGTTTGATTTAAAGCCTCAAGAAGGTGCTACAGGCCAGCAAGCTATCGTTATGTGTAAAGAGATTTTCTTTGGTTGTGTTAATGTCAGTGTAAACTGGGTTGTGTTAATGTCAGTGTGGATTGGTCCCGCAGGATGTGACGATGGAAACCCCCGTGAACTTCTTACAGTGGCTGGCGTGAACTCAGGTGGACCTCTCCGCGACCTTAACAGCGGTGTGTGTCAAAAGCACTTGAAACTGTCCCAGCCAGCCAGTTCTTCCTCCTGAAAGTTTCTAAAAAACACAAAATCTCCGGGCTGGAAATTATGTAATGGTTTGCTCGCGGTGCAGGTTGCCCTCCTTGGGCCTGTCGTCTTGAATTGATCTGTTAGAGAAATTCAGTAGTTAATCATGTTGTCATTACATGTTATTAAAATAATTCCAGGTTTCATCGGCGGTCCCATTCCGGTGTTGGGAATCCTGCAAACAAGATTTTTTTTTTTATCTTCTTCGCATACGCATGTTAGTTCAATGTTTATTAAACACAGAACATGTAGACAAACATTATATGTCAACAAACATTCACCAACATGAAACAGACGCAAACAAACGTTGAACGCCATCAGAAGTCAGTCAGTCAGTCAGTCAGTCAGTCAAATTTGCATTACAGTCAAATATTTACAGTTAGTCCTCATTTATATACATATTTTCTTAAATTGAAATGGCTAAATTTATGTGAAGCTTCAAATAGAGAACTTTTAACAATATATCATATATTAATGTTTAAATTCAACTCTAATGTACAGGATCCTGTTTTAAAGTTTAGCTTTATCGACACATACAGAAGAGATCTCAATATAATTTAGAATTACAGCAACTAATTTATGTTTCTGCTGAAGCGCTTCATTAATAAAAAAAAAAACAGCTTTGTTATAAATAATAATCCCTGGACAACTAAAGGTATTTTAACCTGTCTAAGTTCAAATTTATTACAGCTGTATGTTATAGGAATTTCCCTCTGTTCAGTTGAAATGCAACCAAAATATAATATAGTATACCCACGCGTATATAACGCAACCTATCTGACAGCAGATAAGTGCTCAAAATTAGTGTGACTCTGTGGGAAGCGTACAAAATCAGATTAGAATACCACGATGTCTCGAGATGCCATAACAGCCCTTTCTGCACTTGCCACTGCGTGCAAACATTGTAGCAATGCGGCTGCTACATGATCTAATTTGGAAAATAGGCGACCAGTTTCAATTTATCACCATGTCTTTGGAGCAAAACAAAAAACCCTCTTCTCATCTAACCATCTCTATAAAACATTCAGGACAGATCGGGAAAAATCCCAGAGTTGGAGGTGTCTCAGGTATTTTTTTCAGCGCTCTGAATGACGTCAAACCAACTTCAATTCACATTTTACTTCAATCCTATGTAAAATGTGTGAGCTCATTAATAATCCAATAATCCCTTGTCATACTTCTCTCAGAGGTTTCTCAATCTCAGCATAACTTAGAATGAAATGCCTACAATAGTTGTTTTTTTTTAAGGGAGAGGTAACGCCATATTAGTTTCAATCCTGGATAAAGCTCTGCCCTTGGGGGAAATCACATGACCCAGGAAAGTCACAGACGGCTGCACAAAGTGCAATTTGCTTTTTCTTACTTTTTTTTCTTTTAATTTTTTTTTTTTATAGCCAGTTTATGCCAAAAAAAAAATAAAAATGAAGTAACTTCATGCTTTTAGAAACACACAGATCATGATTGGAAGCTGCCATTAATAAATCATCAACATACTACAAAAGAGCTGTTTGTGGTGCAAGTTTCAAATGTGAAAGATTGTCATTCAATGCTTGGTGAAAAATGGTTGGACTCTCATAGTAGCCCTGACAAAGTCTTGTAAATGTGTAGAGCTTATCGTTAAATTGAAAAGTGAACCAGAACCGGCTTTCTGGGTGAATTAGAACACTGAAAAAAACACTTGTCAAATAAATGACTGTGAAAAACATGCTGCCTGTTGGAATTTGTGACAAAATAGTGTTTGGATTTGGAACAATAGCTGCTTTGGCAATGACAGACTTGTTAACTTCTCTAAGATCTTGAACAAACCGTCACTCAACAGGTCGATCAGGAGCACTGAGTTTCTTCACAGGAAAAATAGGTGTCCTGACAGGTGAATTTGAAGAAGGTACAATGATACCTGCTTCCAGCAGTGATTGAAGCACTGGAGTTATTCCAAGCACTGCTTCTGGTTTCAAAGGGTATTGTTTTTGATTGGGATAGTGACAATTTGATTTGGAAATTATGGGAATAGTTTTTTTTTTTTTTTATTAAGCCCACATCATATTTGTAAGAAGCCCATAAATGGGCAGCTCAAAATAGGGTCAGATGAAAGGGATAACAAATCATGTTGATGGCGAAAAATAAATACTTTCTGAGACATATACAATCAGTTGTTTCATGTGTTGCTTTTGCTAGAGGGCAAAAAGTTTTCCACCCGTCTCCTGAATGTTTTGCCAAAGAGACATGAGGAAAAAAAAAAATCAGTCAGTGTGAAGAAGCTCAGTTGCTCAGGTGACAATCAGCAAAAAGCAAGTCTCAGCGGACCAGCATATGTGAGTTGCATGCAGCAAAGACGGGCGTGTCAGAAGGGAGGAGTCACTCAGCTCATCTGCTGGATCTGGACATGTGAGCTGTGCAATGAAGGCATTTTACTGACATCTCAGTGGAAGTGAAATGGGGTCAGATTGTCGGTCTGTAATCAACCATTCAAAAATGTAGAGCAGACTTGGTATTTTGAACAAATTAAGTCAGTTGGAGTTTGTTTTTTGGACACGGAGCCCCGTGTCTGAACATTCAATAGACAGAAATAGTGAGCATGAGAAGGACTTGGTGTATTTCAGTTGTATTTTTTACATATGTTGTGTGTGTTGGTACTTGCGATTTGCTGAACCAGAGGTTGCTCCAACGGCACCGGGTCTAGTTAGCTGGAATACCGTCCACGATGTCCTGTAAAT